TTAAAAGTACACAATTCAGTGGTTTTTAGTATATCCACAAGATTATGTAACCATCACTAGTCCAGGGCATTTTTATCACCCTGAAGAGGGACCCTGTACCCATTCACAGTCACTTCTCATTATCCCCTCTGCCCAGACACTGGCTACCGTCAATCTACTTTGTTTCCATAGATTTACCTATTCTGGATATTTCATATAAATGGAAGCATATAATATGTGGCCTTTTATGTCTGGCTTCTTTCACTTAGTATAATGTTTTGGATGTTCATCCATGTTGTAGCATGTGCCAGTATTCCTTTCTGTGGCTGAATAACCTTCTATTATATGTATTGAAGGGGTAGGTGAATTATTTTGACCTGAAGGCTATCAAGACCCTGTGGGCTCAGGAGAAAATTTTGCCTCTTTCTTAAAGAATTTAAATTTGGGCCCTGGCCAGTTTGGCTCAGCGGTTAGAGCGTTGGCCTGTGGTCTGGAGAGACCCGGGTTCGGTTCCCGCTAAGGGCATGTACCTCGGTTGCAGTTTGTCCCCGGCCCTGGTTGGTCGTGCGGGTGGCAGCCACTCGATGTGTCCCTTTCACATCGATGTTTCTCTCTCTCTCTCTCTTCCTCTCTCTCTCTCCCACTCTATCTGTATAAAAAATGGAAAAATGTCCTCAGGTGAGGATTAAAAAAAAAAAAGAAAAGAATTTAAATTTGGGGCCTTGCCCATAATAAGAGTTATTAGCAGAAATAACTTTTTATGATTTATCTATAGGACAGGGCAAACTTCTAATTACTCTGACTCATATATGTGGGGTTTCCAGACATACATAGTTAATTTTGATTACTTTCTCTTGTTACTCTGTCTTGTGTTGATTTAATTATTAGACCAGCCAGAAGAACATAGAAGGGTAGAGGAAATTTTTTTATTCCCCCCCAGTATATACCACAATTTGTTTGTTTATTCATCTGTTGGTGAAAATTTAGGTTGTTTCCAATTTTGGGCTCTTATGAATATTGCTGCTATGAATATTCATGTATAAATTTTTGTGTGGACATATGTTTTCATTTCTCTTGGTTATATACCTAGGAGTAGAATTGCTGGGTCATATTGTAACTCACTCTAAATTTAATTTTTGAAGCTTTCCCAGACTGTTTTCCAAAGTGGCTGCACCATTTTACATTCCTACCAGCATTGTTTGAGGGTTCCATTTTCTCCACATACTAGCAGCACTTGTTATGATCTATTTTTGATTATAGCCACCCCAGTGGACATGACATGGTATCTCATTGTGTTTTGTCACTTAAAAAGAATCAGAGCCATCCACATACACAGTTTAAAAAGACAAGACAAAGTGTAAATATCCCATATCTCTCCATAACCATTTCATTGAGGCAAATACTTTAAATTCTTCTAGCGGTTTCTTCTGGTATTTATCTTCTATTTCTGGTAATATGTATTATACCACTATTTTAGAAACCAATTTTAGATATTTTCTCTTGACTTCCAACTATGGAAGATGAGCATTTAGTTCTCTTTTCTTCTCCCAGGTGCACACAAATATATACTCACTTTTTCTTTCAAGTCTCACAATATGATTATAATCTCCATTTTTGGTTAAATCAATAATTGACACATTGTTATGACTGTGAATTCATAGTCATGTGATATACTAAGATTATATTTACTTAATCATACTTTTGCCCTTAGACTCCAGATGACCTAGAGGAAAACATTTGTGTCTTTTTTTTTTTAATTTCCTCAGTTTTCTACATATTAATTACTACTTCGTCCTCAAATACTGCAAGAAAATGAAACATCTCTGGGCATATTTAAACACATGAATATTCCACTATTCCCTCCCCCTTTTGTTCTCGGAGACATTCCTCCCAGAGCCCGCCATTCACCTGCTCTCCTCTGGACTGCGTGGCTAGGAGAGATGTGTTAGATATTTTTTAAGTGTATCATTTTAATTCCCTTGTTTATTTTAGTGGGTTTTTTCTTTTTTTTTTTTATAGTTCTTGTCCTATTGATTACACTGGTGATTCCAATCAACACCTTAACTTAAAACAGTCCAGTTGTGCCCTGGCTGGCCGGTTTGGCCCAGCTGGTTAGAGTGTCACCCCGTGGACCAGAGAGTCCCGGGTTCGGTTCCCGCTAAGGGCATGTACCTCAGTTGCAGTTTGTCCCTGGCCTTGGTTGGGATCGTGTGGGCGACAACCATTCAATGTGTCTCTTTCACATCGATGTTTTTCTCTCTCTCTCTTCCCTCCTGCTCTATCGGAAGATAAATGCAAAGAAATGTCTTCAGGTGAGGATAAAAAACAAACAAACAAACAAAAACCCAGTCCAGTTGTAACTAAATACCAACCTAATTCCAATAGCAGACACCATTGCTGATGTTGCCTTCACGCTACCATGGCATGAAAGCAGCGCAGTTGTGACACAGCACCTACGCATATGGCCGGTGAAGCCTCAAACATGACTATTCGGCCCTCTGTGGAAAAGACTGCTGACCTTGCTCCAGTGCCTTGATCGTCCTGATCCCATTTTCTGTCTTCTCCCATGTGAGAGTAATCTGCTCTCCTCTGAATTCTCACCTTTCCGAAACCCAGAAATTAACTGCAACTGCTAAGAAATCAAACGGAAGGGCACAAAACAAAGCGAACACTTCCTTCATGCACCTTGCGCTAGTTAAGATGCTCAAAGTTGTCATCCATTGTGATCTATGAAATCCAGTCCTTCAACAGGAAATTACTCTGAGGATTCTTATTACTGATTTACATTTGAACAATTTCAAATAATTTCTTCGTCATTTAGTCCCAGGCGCAGGCAATGCATTTCCATATGAGCGTTCTGTGGTAGGCATGGGTTGTTTCTGCCTGACCAGCACCCACTTCCCATCCTCTGAAAAGAGTTCTTTGACTTTTATTTGACACCAGAGATGGAGACACGATGTCGGGCATGGTGTGTGCAGGAAGCTGCCAGGGACTGTCACCTGGAGGGGGCCTGCCTGAGCCCAAAGCCCAGTGCAAGGCAAGCAGAGCTGACGGGGAGAGAGCAAGCCAGTGCCACGACACAGGTTAGCCTCTGCATTCTGCCATACTTCCGAACTTTCTAATTATGTGTACCAAGTAAATCCCCTTTTCTGTGTAAGCCCATTAGAGTTGTGCTTCTGATACTTATGAGCAAAAGGAGGCATGATTGACCTACACATGGAAGCTGAGTCTAATCCACTTCTGGGTACCTACAGAGTCCAGCACCTTCACAAGACCCTCCTTTCATTCTTAGCAAGAGAAGAAACTCTTCTGCTTTAGTTCAGGACCGGAATAGATTTAGTCTAATGCAGGGTCAATTTCAGAACTAATAAGAAACTTTTCAAATTCAGGTTACTGCCCACCTTGACAAAACAGAAAAAAACCAACTAATGGTCTCACTAATGATTAAATGTGAATAACATTGCCATGTAGAATTTATTGCATACCCAATGAAGCACATTTTGAAAGACAATGGCAATGTAACTTCATGTTATAAAAGCATGCCTTGCACTTAGCTATTTTTCACAGCATATCCATATCCAAAACTTCATCAGATCCTCTTAGGCTTCTTTTTTGATAAATGACATATATATGTGTGTGTGTGTGTGTGTGTGTGTGTGTGTGTGTGTGTGTGTATATATATATATTTTTTTTCCTTATGGTATGTGCCCCTAGCAGGAACCGAACCTGGGACTCTCCAGTCCACAGGCCAACACCCAACCGCTGAGCCAAACTGGCCAGGGCCATATTCTTTTTATTAATTTTTTTTTTAATCCTCACCCGAGGACATTTTTGCATTTTATCTTGAGATATAGAGTGGGAGGGAGAAAAGGAGAAAGAGAGAGAGAGAAACATCAATGTGATGGAGACACATTGAGTTGTTGCCACCCACACAACCTCAACTGGGGCCAGGGACAAGCAGCAACCGAGGTACATGCCCTTAGCGGGAACCGAACCTGGGTCTCTCTGGTCTCGGGGCCGACGCTCTAACCGCTGAGCCAAACTGGCCAGGGAAAGTGACCCATATTTTAAAGGCGTTTTTTAAAGCATAAAAACCGAAACATATTTTATAAATAATTATACAGCAATTTCTTATAAATAAAAATTCTCAACTTTTTATTCTTCCTCTAGTTTTGTGTTCTTGACACGTGCTTACTTTTCTAGTTAGCTCTTCTGAATTCCAGGCCATAAAGAGACTTTTTAATTTCTCCAGCTTTAGAGAAACCCTGAGCCTTTTTCTAACTTGTTTCCTTTTCGTCGCTGCTCTGTAGCTGGCTGAGGCTTGTCCACTTAACCTGCTTGTCCTTACCATAGCGCCTTGCACATGGAATGTCACTGGAGTCCCCACAGGCCTAGTTTTGAACCCCCAGCTGTGTTACTTCCTAACATTATAATCCTGAGCACGTTTCTAAATCTGTAAAGTGAGGATAACGATTGTACCTACCTGATTTATTATTGCAAAGATTAAATGAGATGTATACAAAAGAGACACAGTGAGCACGTAGTAAATGTTAGCTGTTGTTATCTGCTGGTGGAAAGAATGAGCTCTGCTAGCCAGTGCTCGCTGCCATTTCACTCCACACGAAGCTTGTCAGACCTGGTGACTGTCTAAAATCTAAGTCCCTTGATGGAGAGACCGTCTTGTTCGTCACTGTAGCACCAGCACCTAATATTTACTGGCATAAAATAGGTATTCAATAAATATTTATTGAATAAATGAGTGAATATAGGTAATATAGTTGTAATTTTACTGATATTCCAATATTATGGATGAGAAAACTGAGGCTAACAGAGCTTAAGTGACTTGTAGAAAGTTCTACATGGGTTAAAGAGGAATTAGGATATGGTTCTCCTGCCTGGCGGTTTTTCTTTTCTACCATATCACTTCTTGGAGCCGTTACCTCATGATCCAAAGTTCAGTATCTTAGTAACTCAATGATGATTTCAAGGGCCAAAAATGATTCTGAAATTTTAAAACCTACCGTGGTATCCACAGCCTTGACTTTCTCTGTGGGAATGTACTTTGGAACAGGATCTGACTGTGACAGCATCACACATCCTTCAGCACCTAAAGTGATGATTACGACCTGGCAGCCCCTTTCCACCAGCACCTGTGCAACCTTCCCAGCATCCGCCGGGCTGCGAACCGTGAGGCCGGTTAGAATCTCAGCCTGGAATACATCAAGTGAAAGGAAATGGTGAGAAAAGTAAACTGGGTCCACTTCCACATTAGATTCATTTTTCTACAAAATATCTCCCTTATTTTGCATAACCAATGCAATAGAGAACATGGATAAACACTGCTCAGAAAAATAAATATAGCAAAAAGTTAACTGGTTTTAGTGGTTCTCAACCTTCCTAATGCCGCATCCCTTTAATACAGCTCCTCATGTTGTATGGGCGTATCTGCATGTGGGCAGACCCGCCTGGAGACGGATAGAGGAGCGGTGTCTCGGTTCCTTAGACCGTTGGAAATATGTGTTTTCCAATGGTCTTAGGTGACCCCTGTGAAAGGGTCGTTCGACCCTCAACGGGGTCACAACCCACAGGTTGAGAAGCACTGGTTTAGGTGATGAGTATATGAGTATTCATTGTATTGCTCCTTCAGCTTTTCTGTATGCATGCACCATAATTTTCATAGTAAAGAGGGAGGGGAACAATGAGAATCCTACAAAACAAAGAAAGGAAAGGGGGAGAGAGGAAAGGAGAAAGGAAGAGGTCATTGCCAATGATTTTGATGACATAAAACAAACATGTAAATTTCACTTGTAAGGATGAAATTCCTCTAGGCTTCTCTCGGGCCTTAATGCCTTTCTCTCATTCCTAGTTACAGCTTTCCATGTTTGCGCACCACCCATTTCTTTGTTTGTTTTTGCTGGAGAAGAGGGAAGCAGAGTAGGAGGCACTGCTATGTAGCAGCAAAAGCAGTGCCATGGCACTCAGGTCTCCATTGCTTACTAACTCTGACCTTTCCCAGGCACGTACAATTTATAAAAGGAGGGGCTTGCGCAGGATCAGTAGTTCTCTCTGAAAAAAAAAAGGCTGAAGTGGGGGTGAAGGACTGCAGCCCTGCTTCCTCATCCGTAGGCAACCCTCCAACATCTCTGAGGAACCTCTCTGGTTCTGAATAGGTGGCTGAAAAATCACTGGACTAGATGAATTATATGATGCTTTTTGACTCAAAAAGTTTGTAACCAAATTCTGTCTTTTTCGTATTACAATTTAAGCATGTACTATCTCTTCTTTAGAATGGTTCTATCCCTTCCTGTGCCTGCTCTGGTTATGCCCAAGTTGACCCTTTTTGTTACCTGTAAATTATCCACAGTGTCTGATCATTCTGGGCTTCAGTTATCTTAGCAGCACAGTTCCATTAACTAGAACATGGCCTCTCTTACCATCTTTTTTCAATAGACCCTTTCAGTCTGAGTTGGTTATGCTTTGAGGTCACTTTCTTTATTGTTTTTATAAGTTTTTCATTATTGCGATCAGGTATGTCTGCTGAATTGGTCTATTTTCAGAAACACTGACTTCTTGTGGTTTCTAAAAACCTTTAAAAAAGCTGTTCTTTCACAAAAAATCTTGAACATAAAAAATAATGCAATAAACACCCATGTACTTACCATCCACCCTGAACAAATCTAATGTGTTACTTTATAAACTTTAGATATTTTTCTTTAAAGAAGGGAAATATCTTCCATATATATTATTTATCAATATGATCCCCCTTAACATTATTTAAATTGTGTTGATATATGTAGCTCTATATTGTGCACCCCCTTAAATGCACAGTATTCCATATTGCAAACATACTTTTTTTTTTTTTTTTTTTTTTTTTTAAGATAGAGTGGAAGGGAGAGATGGGAAGAGAGAGAGAAACATCAAAGTGAGAAAGACACATTGATTGGCTGCCCTTGGCTGGGAATCAAACCGGAGACCCTTTGGTCTGTGGGCTGATGCTCTAACCGCTAAGCCAAATCGGCTAGGGCCAAAGATACTATTTTTAAACAAAATCGATTCTCTTTTTCATGAACACTTTGGCTTTTCCATTTTCCACTTTAACAAGCAATGAAGTATTGGATATTATCATTTATATGTAATGCCTTTTTTTTGCCTCTTTAGCTATTAAAATATATTTTTGTCTTTGCCCTTAATTTTATACAATTTCATAAAATGTTAGTAGAGAACTATGTCTATTTATTTCACATGGTACTTTTATTTATTTATTTTAATTAATTAATTAATTTTTGTTACAGATGTTTCCCCTTTTCCCCCCACTGATTCCCCCTCCCCTTCCCTCCATATCCTGTCCTCAGCTTTGTTGTCCATGTCCATTGTTCATGCATACATGCATATAAATTCTGTGGTTTATCTCTCCCCCACCACCCCCTCTTCTGGGGATTGTCAGTCTGTACCCCACTTCCATGTCTCTGGGACTACCCCATTCCTCAGACTGTTATGTTCATTATATTCCACAAATAAGTGAGATCATATGATACTTGTCTTTCTCTGGCTTGTTTCGCTTAAGATAATACTTTCCAGGTCCCTCCATGTCGTCTCAAAGGATAAGAGGTCTTTCTTTCTTATAGCTGCATAGTACTCCATTGTGTATATGTACCACAGCTTTTTTATCCATTCATCTACTGATGGACATTTGCGCTGTTTCCAGATCTTAGCTATTGTAAATAGTGCTGCTATGAACATGGGGGTACGTATATTCTTTCTGATTGGTGTTTCAGGCTTCTTAGAGTATATTCCTAGAAGTGGGATCACTGGGTCAAATGGCAGTTCAATTTTTAATTTTTGAGGTAACGCCATATTGTTTTCCATAGGGCTGTACCAGTCTGCATTCCCACCAGCAGTGTACTAGAGTCCCTTTTCTCTACACCCTCGCCAACACTTCACATGGTACTTTTAATACACTTTTGATCTGAGGAATCATGCCTTTTCTCAGTCCTAGAAAACACCTTGCACTTTCCCTCTGGAATTGCTTCTCTTCAGTTCCCTCCATTCTCCTCTTTCACCCCAATTAGATGTATTTTGGAGCCTCTCAGGTTATCTTTTATATCCCCAAATTCCACTTTAATATCTAAAAACATTTTTTTTGTGTCTCTTGCTATGTGAACTGAAATTTTCACTTCTAGATGAGAACTGATTACAATTTTCTTTCAATTCACTAATTCTTCATTCCAGTCTGATGTTCACCTTTCTAATGATTTAAATTTGTTCAATGCCATTTTTTCATTTTCTAAACTTCTAATTGATTGGTTTTCATATTCATACATCATTGCTTTGGTTTTGTTTTTCTTTCATAATTCTCTTAAAAAATTTTTTTTCTTTATTGATTTTTACAGAGACAAAGTAAGGGAGAGGGAGAGAGACAGAAACATTGATGAGAGAGAACATGAATTGGCGGCCTCCTGCGTGCCCCCACAGGGGATTTGGCCTACAACCTGGGCATGTGCCCAGACCGGGGATAAAACCAGCGACCTCTTGGTGTATGGGTCGACGCTCAACCACTGAGCCACTCTGGTCTGGCTCTTCTCCTTTTAATGAATAATATTATCATACTTATTTTTGTCATTCTTCAAAAAAAATTTTTTTTAACTACTTTTTTTTTTTTTTTAATCTTTATTGTTGGATGTAAAATGTATTACAGATGTTCCACATTTTTCCCCCATTGACCCCCTCCTCCCCACTCCCGCCCCCCTCCCGCCTTTTCCCACACTATTGTCTGTGTCCATTGGTTATGCATATAAATTCTTTGGTTTATTTCTTCCCACCGCCCAAGCCCCCTTCCCTTTGAGGTTTGTCAGTCTAGCAATGAATTTGTACTTCTTAATCCCTTCACCTTTTTCACCCATTCCCCCAACCCCCTTCCCATCTGGCAACCAACAAAATGTTCTCTGTATCTATAGAATGTTTCTGTTGTATCTGTTCATTTTGTTTGTAGATTCCATTGTTGATAGATATGTATTCATTGCCATTTTGTTTGTTCATATATTTTATCTTTTTCTTCAAAAAGACCCTTCAACATTTCATATAATAACGGTTTGGTGGTGATGAACTCCTTTAACTTTTTCTTCTAGGAAACTCTTTATATGGCCATCGATTCTAAATGACAGCTTTGCAGGATAGAGTAATCTTGGTTGTAGGTTCTTGCTTTTCATCAGTCTGAATATTTCTTGCCACTCCCTTCTGGCCTGCAAAGTTTCTTTTGAGAAATCAGCTGACAGCCTTATGGGAATTCCCTTGTAGATAACAGCCTTTCTCTTCCTGCTTTTAAGATTCTCTCTTTGTCTTGAACCTTTTGCATTTTGATGATGATGTGTCTTGGTGTGGGCCTCATAGGGGTTCATCTTGTTTGGGACTCTCTGTGCCTCCTGGACTTGTATGTCTGTTTCCTTCACCAAGTTAGGGAAGTTTTCTGCCATTATTGTTTCAAACACAGGTTTTCGATTTCTTGTTCTCACTCTTCTCCTTCTGGCACGCCCAAGATGCGAATGTTGGCACGCTTGAAGTTGTCCCAGAGGCTCCTTACACTCTCCTCATTTTTTTGGCTTCTTTTTTCTTTTTGCTGTTCTGATTGGGCATTTTTTGCTTCCTTATATTCCAAATCAATGGTTTGCTCCTTGGATTTATGTACTCTATTATTGAAGCTGTGTAAATTATTCTTTATTTCAGTTAATACCTCCTTCAATTCTTACTGTGCATCCATGATTTCTGACTGGTCCTTTTTTATGCTCTTGAGGCCCTGACTAAGTTCACTGAGGTTCTCACTAAGTTCATTGAGCATCCTTATAAGCAGTATTTTGAACTCAGCATCTGTTAGGTTGCTTTTCTCCATTTCGCTTAGTTCTTTTCTTGGGGTTTTGTTCTGTTCTTTCATTTGGGACCTCTTTCTTTGTCTCCTCATTTTGGCTGCCTCCCTGTGTCTGTTTCAGTGTATTACTTAACGAGAGGTATGGGGCTAGCTGAGACCAGATGCTGCTCATTTGAAAGAGTTTAGGAAAAACCTGAAGCAGGATCCAAGACAGGCCAATCCTATGGTTAAGCAAATGGCAACAGCTTGGGTGGGCCTGAAAGTTGGGTGGGGCGGGGCCTCAGGGAATCACCAGGTTGGGGCTACCAGTGTGAGCCAGGTTGCTGGAGTCCCAGATATGGCTTCTGTCTGCCGCCCCAGGGAAGGGCTCACCAAAGGAACAAAGACCTCTGACAGCACGTTTGTCCTGGAGAAAGCCCCCTCTCTAGCCCTCGCTCCAGTGCCAAACAGCTCAGTTCTTCCCTGTATGTCTCTGGTGCCCCTCGAGCTGCCTCCCCTCCAAGCTTAGAGGGAGTGAGTCCGATAAGTCCGTGCGTGGGCCCTTTAAGGAGCTGCCTGGGGCTCCAGCCGCTTCAGCCTCCCTGAGCCTCAGTTCCCGCTGCTTTTTCCAGCCAGAAGTTATGGGGACTTCTCTTCCTGGCACTGGAACCCTGAGCGGGGCACCTGGTGTGGGACGGGGACCCTTCAGTCCTCAGGAAGGACCTTCCCAGTCGAGGTGTCCTCCTGATTTTTATCCGCCACACGTGGGTGTGGGACCAGCCCTTCCGCCTCCGCCCCTCCTACCAGTCTGGATGTGGCTGCTGCTTTAATTCCGTAGTTGTAGGACTTCCATTCAGGATGATTTCAGGCGGTTTTGAATGATGGCTGTTCTGTAGTTTAGTTGTAACTTTGATGTTGTTGTGGGAGGATGCGATCCCACGTTTACCTACGCCGCCATCTTTACCGGAAGTTCTTTTTTTTTCTTTATTTTTTATTTTATTTTATTTTATTTTTTTAATCCTCACCCGAGGACATTTTTCCATTTTTTGTTCAGATAGAGCGGGAGGGAGAGAGAGGAAGAGTGAGAGAGAGAAACATCGATGTGAAGGGACACATCGAGTGGCTGCCACCTGCACGACCAACCAGGGCCGGGGACAAACTGCAACCGAGGTACATGCCCTTAGCGGGAACCGAACCCGGATCTCTCTGTACCGCAGGCCGACGCTCCAACCGCTGAGCCAAACCGGCCAAGGCTTTTTTTCTTTATTGATTTTATAGAGAGGAAGGGAGAGGGAGAGACAGACAGAAACATTGATGAGAGAGAACATCGATTGGCTGCCTCCTGCACGCCCCCACTGGGATCAGGCCCATAACCTGGGCATGTGCCCTGACTGGGAATCGAACCAGCATCCTCTTGGTGCACGGGTCGATGCTCAACCACTGAGCCACACTGGCTGGGCTTTTTTGCCTTTCTTTATTATTTGAATTTCATCTTGTGCATAAGCATCTTTAGGTTGCTGATTCAGCTGAGAAACTATTGCAGCACTGTTTTTTCATTTGGAGGCTCACTTTGTTCACTGTGAGTTGGAGAGTCTTCATGCTTCAGCTCCCACCTGCCTTTACAAGTCTTTTGGTTGCATCTGTCAGGCCTCTAAGGATATCTAAATCACAGCAAGGTGTTAATATCAGCAATATGGAGTTCCTGTTCTGGTGTTATTGTTGATATGGCCAATCCAGTCACTAAAGTCAGCCATTGGCTTGGTTTCCTTCCTGATCAGAGGTAGCATCTCTGTCCTCCTATCTCCTCAGGTTGGGAGCCTTATATAGATTGTCGTCTCAGCAGCAGGAGTAGCAACTTCCTCCACCTTTTTTTGTTGGCAGGAGAGCCTAAGCTCAGCATCTCTGGTTTCTTGCAGTGGGCACTGCTCCAGGCTCCTATGAGTGGCACACCTTTAGTGCCCATTACTCACAGGAGCAGACTTCCTACCACTTATACCTGCTTCTAGGACTGGAGTAGAGCATACCCAGGGCTGAGTGTTTTGTGATTTGGTTCCATTTCCAATCTGTGGAGTTGTTTTGAGCTTGTGAGTATCTTTTCCTTATCTTTTATATTTATATATGAATGGTTTCTGTGTAGGGCAGAGGGAGTATCTTAAAGCATGAATCTACTTTATTCTTCTGATTAAAAGTCACCCATAAGAATATTAAGCTTGTAAAGTTTTTCTTTTTTCCATTACGTTTTTCAGATCAATTTTCTTAAAGACCAGTGTTTGTTCATTTGTTCATTCAGTCATTCAACAAGCATTTACTAGGTGCCAACTATGTGCCAGGTATAGGATAACTGATGGTAATTTATAGATAACTGTATCAATATATATAACATCATACATGCTCTTTTCACACTGTGACAATGACAATCTTCTATTGAGCGGTGGGGGACCAGGGTGGACTTTCCTGCCTTAATTAATAAATGGGTCAGAAGAGATGCTGTGTGACTTCCAGAGCTAGGCCATAAAAGCCAACATGTATTCTGCCTAGTTCTCTCTCTCTCTGATCTTGAAACCCAGCTTCCATATTGTGAGGAAGCCCAGGCCACAGGAAGAGGCCATGTGTAAGTGTTCTGGCCAACAGCCAGCATCAGGTAGCAAGCATGTGAGTGAAGGAGGCTTCAGATGATTCCCGCTCTCAGCCTTTGTTTTCCAGGCCCCAGACATTGTGGAGGGACAAGCCATGCTGTGCCCTGTACCAATTTTTAATGCACAGAATCCGTGAGGGACAATAAATAATTACTGTTGTTGTAAACCACTAAATTTTGGGGTAATTTATCTTGCAGCAATAGATAACTGTACACATAGCAATAGCCAATGGGAATACAATAGTGAATAAGACAGGTATACCTGTCTTCTTAGGACTAGTAATTTAATGGGGAAGACAGAAGTATTGAACAAGTAATTCTAGCTGTGATTAGCATTTGAAGAATAATTACAGTGATCTGTAAATACCTAGCAGGGAAATCTAAGGCGGTTTGGCAGTTGAGGGTAATCTAACCTTTTATTGTGCAATGGTCACTATCTCCCACAATACCTTTTCCCTAATACAAAGCCTGGCCATAGTGGTTGCTCAAAAATATTGTGTAGTATATTATGGTTGTTAAAATTAGTTTCCTGTAGCAGTCTTCTTTTTTGTTTATTTTATATTCTAAGAGATGAAATTAACAAAGTGACAGGTCAAGAAACCCTAGAAACCATCATCAGCCTTCAAACCAAATGAAAAATTACAGAATAGTACATTAATTACTAACTTTGTCTCTCTGCATGTTGCATTGTATAATATGTCCTGCCTCTGGTCTAAAACTATTTACCTATAAAAGGGAGAAATATTAAAATTATCTTCCTAAAATTCTTGGCACATTAAGAATAAATGGCACAATAACAATGTATTGATAGATATTTACTGCAGATCTATAAATTATGACCCTCAGCTATACTGAGGGTGCTCCCCTAACTGAGTGACCCCCAAGGTCTTCCCATGGCACTGATGGAAACCTGTGTCTGTCTACCAGTGCAACCACAGGGTTGTTGCAATAGAATGCAGCAAATGCACCAGGCGTTGTATATTATTAGGACTGATAGATCAAATCAGGTCACCCAGTTAAATTTGAATTTCAGGTAAACAACAAATACTTTTATAATGTAAGTACATTTAGTATGTTTATCTGAAATTCAAACTTAACTGGGCATCCTATATTTTTATATGCTAAATCTGGCAACTCTAATACTAATTAGTCCATAGAATACGGAATAATTAAAAAGAAAAACAAAACACCAATAGTGCGAGGGCAGGGAGGGCACTAAAATCAGCAGAGGTTTGATAAGTGCTAGATTATGTGGTGACTTGGGAAATCCCCCTTTCCTCCTAGGACTCACTAATTTTCTTTTTCCACACATATGTCAACTGAACATCTGTTTTCACTGGGCCCAAGAATTCACGTGCTTTCAGACTGGTGTGGTCATTCCTGCTTCTTTTCTTTATCCGTTTGCATGAAAGTCTTTGGTTTCTCGTGGAATGAGAAAAACGGTCTATCCTTACCTCACTTTCATTGCAGCAGAACACATCTGAGAGGGAGTAGAACCGGGGGTCCAGGTCAGCAGTGGCAGGTGCTGGGTTGAACAATGTTTTCACTACAGAGGAATGGAAGAGGGGCTCAGTGGTTATTATTTTTAATGTGCTGCACTTGCAGATATTCATTAAGGGAAATCCCCAAGTACATCCATTTTCCTCATTAGATTAAAAATCAACTTAGTTATGTGAAACCTCAATCTCCATGGTAGCCTAGTACAAACTCCTTATTTCCATTTGCTCTACTTTTTACTTTACAACATTTAAGCTTCAAGGGTAAGCATCAATATTTACATCCAAGGTGATCACAAAGTTATGGCAAAGGGCAACAAGAGGATTAGAGAAGATTTTAAATGTGGCGTGAAAGGACATGTATGAATGTGAACATTCAGGCTGGTGGACATATTTGTGGGTTACTTTAAGTGCTCAGCTGCAAGGCTAGTTTATAAATGCTTTTTCCAGGAAAAAAAAAAGAGATGATAGAAGAGGAACAATGAAGAGCTCAAAAATTTCCTGGTAAGACTAGTAAGTAGGAAGTTGACGTACATACGTATATTTTGAACACCTATGTATGTCTTCCAACTATATCAGAATTATTCATGCAAACATACACACTTACACAATAGCTTACATTCTTGGCTTCTGTGAGCACTCTAAGAACAAAGGAAACTGAGAAAGGAGGAGAAATTCAACCAGAGGCAGAGAGCTAGCTCAGGCGAGGAGACTGCAGGAGGAGAATGGATGGGGAGAGCAGAAACAGGGCAGATAAGAATGGCACAGTGATTACATTTTCCAGAGGAGTAAAGTGAGCCTCAGAGAAGTGAAGTCACAGTCTAAGGTCATCACTGGGCCTTGGGTAAACTGGATCCCTACCAGTGGTCCTCCAGCTTTAAGTCCAGGGTTTGATCATCTCTAAAATAGTTGCCTCTCTACACCAGGACTCTGTATATAGCAACACAGCTCCCAATCCCAATTCACAATATTTTAAAACAGCCTTTGGTATGGAACTTTGTAAATATTTTTGAAAGTCTTTAGAAATTACATTCAAAGGAATCTTTCCCTTTGTCAAAACACTTAATCGTTCACCAGAGGACCCAGCCAGATTGGTTGGTCTTCTTTTCCTCTATACAGGTTCACTGACTTATGGGTTTAGTAACCCCAATTTGCCATAGACGTATAGAGTAAAATCCTCAGAGACTCCTCCAGAACAGTGGTTCACACACTTGGCTGCACATCAGCATCACTTGGAGAGATTAATAACATGTATGATTTCTGGGCTCCACTTCAACCTACCGAATCAGGATCTTTTGGGGTAAGATCAGGGGTTGTGCACATTGACAAGTTCTCCAAGTGGCTCTTCCGCAGTTATCTTGGCACTGATCCATTCCACATTCTTGTGGAGATGCTCATCAGCACGTGGTTGAGGGAAACCATCCGCTGCTTCTGCCTGCTGAGGCGAGATAGTCTGCTTCTGCACCTTCCTTGGTCTTAACATTTTGGTTCGGTCAGTGGATCTTGTCCAGTGGTTTACAGGATAATGCTAGTCCCACGTTTTCATTATTTTAGAATCCAGAATGTCTACTCATGGAAATTCTATGGTATATTTTTGGCTTCTCAGGGTTATGGTGTAGCTTAAATTAGAAATGGATATAAAAGCCCCGTGTAAACTATAAAGTGTTGTACAAAATGTAAGGGATTATTACTGTTATTATACTGTCCTCTACATACAGCCCAACACCCCCGCCTGACCACCCATCTCTTCTGCTTCTGTTGAAGTTTGTAGCCTGGCAACAATCTCCCTCATTGGTTTTCCTGCTTTTGCGAGGTCTTAGCGATGTCAGTTATGCATAAAGGCACTCGTCGCCCAGTGTTCTAACACACCCACTTACTTTTTTAGGTTTTCAGAACAAATATATTGTTCCCTATTTCCCTTAAGCATTAAATTGAGACACCACTGCTCACCTACATGATCCTCAAACCTGCCCTCAGCAGCATTTGAGCACAGGTAAGAGCAAGATACCAGTTTGGAACAACAGGGTAGAGCCATTCCTATAGAAGTTCCATTTGATCTCAAAGGATCCCTTATCCAGCAATTCCTTTTCTAAACCTCTCCTACAGAAATACACAAGCATCCAATGATGCGGTACAGTGATGTTCATTCAGCTCTTGTTTGTAACAGAAAAAAACAACAACAAAAAAACCCCCAAGCATCAAGCAGAGAGGATTGGCTAAAAAAATTATGACATATATATCCAATGGACTACTCTGCTGCTATTAAAAAGAATAAAACAGATATGATTTGTCATAGAAAGATTTCTATATTTATAAGAAGGCAGTTTTGTAATACATCTAGAGTATGATGACCCTCTCTTTTTTTTAAATTATTTTTATTAATTTGTTTTTGTTACAGATGTTTCTCCTTTTCCCCCCACTGATTCCCCCACCCCCTCCCTCTCTGCCCTGTCCCCAGCTTTGATGTCCATGTCCATTGTTCATGCATACATGCATATAAGTTCTGTGGTTTATCTCTTCCCCTCCACCCCCTCTTCTGGGGATTGTCAGTCTGTACCCCACTTCCACGTCTCTGGGACTATCCCATTCCTCAGACTGTTATGTTCATTATATTCCACAAATAAGTGAGATCATATGATACTTGTCTTTCTCTGTTTGGCTTGTTTCGCTTAAGAGAATACCTTCCAGGTCCCTCCATGTAGTCTCAAAGGATAAGAGCTCTTTCTTTCTTATAGCTGCATAGTACTCCATTGTGTATATGTACCACTGCTTTTTTATCCACTCGTCTACTGATGGACATTTGGGCTGTTTCCAGATCTTAGCTATTATAAATAGTGCTGCTATGAACATGGGGATACATATATTCTTTCTGATTGGTGTTTCAGGCTTCTTAGGGTATATTCCTAGAAGTGGGATCACTGGGTCAAATGGCAGTTCAATTTTTAATTTTTTGAGGTAACACCATATTGTTTTCCATAGTGGCTGCACCAGTCTGCATTCCCACCAGCAGTGCACTAGAGTCCCCTTTTCTCCACACCCTCGTCAACACTTGTTGTTTGATGATTTGTTGATGGCGGCCATTCTGACAGGTGTGAGGTGATACCTCATTGTTGTTTTAATTGCATCTCTCTGATTATTGGTGATGTTGAGCATTTCTTTTTATGTGGCTTAGCCATTTGTATGTCCTGTTTGGAGAGGTGTCTATTTAGTTCCTCTGCCTATTTTTTTTTAATCCTCACCCGAGGATATTTTTCCATTTTTTGTACAGATAGAGTGGAAGGGAGAGAGAGGAAGGGAGAGAGAGAGAAACATCGACGTGAAGGGACACATCGAGTGGCTGCCACCCGCACGACCAACCAGGGCCGGGGACAAACTGCAACCGAAGTACGCGCCCTTAGCGGGAACCGAACCCGGGTCTCTCCGGACCGCAGGCCGACGCTCTAACCGCTGAGCCAAACTGGCCAGGGCTCTTATTTTTTATAATTCTTAAGACATCATTTTTAAAACATATAATATCTTACATCAAAAACAAGTACACTGAATGAAATCATATCATGTCTGGGTTTTGCTTCAAAATAGTCCAAGGATGCAGTTGCGGGGTAGAGAGTTAGGATATAGATGAAACAAGATTGATCATTTGTTGATAATTGTTGAAGCTAAATGATAGTGTATATGGATTTGCTGTTCTATTCTCTATATGTCCATATATATTTAAAAATTTCCACAATAAAAACAAACTTAAAAAAAACCCCAATTATATTGGCTTTTAAGCAATGATTGCTGGAGTAAAAACTCTACAAATTATATTTATTTATTTATTTATTTATTTATTTATTTATTTATTTATTTTTAAGACTTCTACAATTTAATTTGGCCATAAATATTGTATAAAAATCAATTCAATCTTACTTGATTGTATTTTACGAAAGGAAATATTTCTACTTATTTATTTATTTAAAAGATTTTTTTTGGGCCCTGGCCAGTTTGGCTCAGCGGTTAGAGCGTCGGCCTGCGGTCCAGAGAGACCCGGGTTTGGTTCCCGCTAAGGGCACGTACCTCGGTTGCAGTTTGTCCCTGGCCCTGGTTGGTCGTGCAGGTGGCAGCCACTCGATGTGTCCCTTCACGTCGATGTTTCTGTCTCTCTCTCCCTTCCTCTCTCTCCCTCCCACTCTATCTGTACAAAAAATGGAAAAATGTCCTCGGGTGAGGATAAAAAACAAAACAAAACAAAAAAAACAAACAAAAAAAAAGATTTTTTTGGCCTGGCTGGTGTGGCTCAGTGGTTGAGCATTGACTCATGCACCAAGAGGTTGCCAGTTTGATTCCCGGTCAGGGCACACATATGCCCAGGTTGTGGGTCAAATCCCCAATAGGGGACATGTAGGAGGCAGCCAGTCAATGTTCTCTCTCATAGACATTTCTCTCTCTCTCTCCCTCTCCCTTCCATAAAGGACTCTCTTTGGCTCATGCTGCCATAAATAAGCATAAATACTTCACCATGATGAAAAAACAAAGAATTAATACAGTAGATGTAGTTAATCAAAGAAGAATGCAAATTTGTAATAGACAAGATGGGAAAAAGTGATGTAATCCTGGAACCATGCAAAATAGAGAGCACAGGATGTATGATGGAGTAGCTTGGGACTACAGAGGTGACTGATAGCATGCAACAGTAATTATTATTCATTACAATATAAGATGGACTAAAATCCTGGTTGTCCTAACAGCATGTCAGTGACTGGCATAATGACATCAGTGAGGAACCGGTGAGGCCTAGGGAGGAAATTGCTTAGGTGCAAAGACAGAAACATGAGGCAGAAGCTCTTATTGATGTCACCATGGAGGGCAGTGGCTGGGCAGTTAAGAAGGCCCTAATGACTAGCTTAGAGAAACAGGGGAAGAAAATCACCCTAAGCAAAGAAACTGGGGGAAGGTTGGAGAACCCAAAACACTGGCTTAGCAGCCTCTCACTTTAGGGGTTCTTTTCTGTGACTTGAGCAGCAAAGACACTCAAAGCTTGGGCCACGTGCTAGACATTATTATTGTGAAAGTTCAGGTAGCCAGCCAAGATGTTTTGTTTGCCAAATGGAAAGGGACTAAAGTGGCATTAAAGGATATTTTGTATCCTACCTTGAATTTAATCTTGGCAATTTTACAATGTCAATTATTTATAATTGTTCCTGTAATGTTTCATTTGCTTTGAAATGGATATAAAGACCAGAACCAACATGCATAATTTCATCACAAGCAGCTGCAGCAGCAGCTCTGCTGTGGGGCTACCTCTCAGCATTGTGACCTAGAGAGGAGGTGGGATCTAGAGGGCTACTAATGCATTTTTTTATGTTGCAGGTGTGTTGCTTTAAAATCACTGCTTTCATTTTGGTAGAGACAGCAAAAGAACAGACAGTATATACAAAGATGGAGGGGTCTTCTTCCTCTGTATTTTAACAACTGATATATAATCTAGTTATACAGTGTATTTAGTTCAAAATCCATTACTAGTTAAGTAGCATAGATAAGAGCTGTGATCATAAACCCACAGATAATGACAAGGATAATTTTGCCATCTTTCTTGTAAATGAGATAATGCTGATTCGCATATATGCAGCCTGGTGGGGCACTGGGCAGGACATTCAGTGCTCACAAAAGATCTTTTTTTTCTTTCAGGTTTTAAAAAAATCTCAAATCGTGATTATAACAGGATATTTTTTCCAAATCATAACAGATCTGTAAGTTTTGCCTGCTCTGCTCTGTGATCTGCCCATTTGCACATCATCACATTAAAGAACCGAAAGAGCGTTCACTGTTCTCATTTACACACACACACACACACACATACACCCCACTATTCGGTATAGAATCTCAGATGCATCTAGCTGGTAACTATGGGGACCAGCTAAGATCTGGACAGAGGAGCATGTGTGCATGTGTGTGATTAATAGGGGTGGGTGGGTGGGTAACATTCTAGGGTCTCTTTTCTGTGACTTGAGCAGCAAGACACTCAAAGCTTAGGCTACATATTAGACAATGTTACAATTCATGAATATCACTTTTCTAGAGATAATCTTAGTAAAGGCTCAGTTACTAGAAATCAAGGAGATTTTGAAGTTACTTTATTTAAAGTGTGGAATTAATACTTAGGCATGCTAGCTCATCACCAAAATGTGAAGTAGGCTGAGTGGTCTTTGGCCTACCATTACCTAACCCCCTTTTTGGTGCTCTGGGTCCTCCAGCTCCTCAATTGGAAGAACTGCTTGGTAGATGATGGAGGAAGCATTCCTGAATCCTACTCAATGACAGCCCAAGGTCCGGCTACCTGCCCATCTGGATAACTCCAGCCTCACCTGTGAAAGTTTGGATCCTCAGCTGTGGTTGCTGCACCTTTCTCTTCTCCATAAGCTGGGAAGGTAACAGGTAACTAGAATAGGACAGCGGAAACTAGGACAGACTCTGAGAAGCAAGGGATAGTAGGAAAAAAAGAAGCTACATGAGAATATGCTCTGATTTACATCAGGAAAGAAAGGAGCATGAATGAAGTGGCACACTGTGCTCACATCACCCGAGTAAGGCCAGTGCCAGGCTCACCATGAGTATTAGACTTGATCTGTGACACTGAGAATTCTGGCTATGACTCAGAATTCTTCTCGACAGCTTCAAGTTCATTAAAAACACGTGAAATGTCAGTAAGAATTTGCCATGGCATGTTGTTTTGCCATGAGGAAAATTTGTTAAATCAGGACATAACATTTAAAAAAGTCTTGCCCTGGCTGGTTTGGCTCAGTGGTTGGAGTGTTGGCCTGCGGACCAGAGAGTCCCGGGTTCGGTTCCTGCTAGGGGCATGTAAAAGGAAGGAAGGAAGGAGGGAGGGAGGGAGGGAAGGAAGGAAGGAAGGAAGGAAGGAAGGAAGGAAGGAAGGAAGGAAGGAAGGAAGGAAGGAAGGAAGGAAAGATAACCTGGAATAAATTTTTAAAAAAAGTCTCCACACAATCATTTCAGTAACTTATTTCACATTTATTTTTATGTAGAGCACTATACAATTTGGGAGAAATCACTTACACACACACACACACACACACACACACACACACACACACACATTCTTTTTATTTTTTTATTGTATTTTGATGAGTAAGTTTTATCTGGAAAACCAATGTGAACAATATCTACGTTCTTCTTAAATCATAGAACTATTGCCGTAATATCAAGAAGAAACCATTGTCTTAGAGTGGCTAGTTTTTATTTTTATTTTTTTGACCAAATGTTGCTGATTAGGATATTGTCCAAATTTTAATTTAAAGAGAGAAGTGAAAGAGAGAAGAAAATTGGCATTTATTGAAACTTACTACACCAACTTGGCATCATCTTTTATTTCATTCTTAGAACAATTCTGTAGGGGAGTATTTTTTTTTTTTTTAATCCTTACCCGAGAATGTTTTCTATTTATCTTCAGATAGAGTGGGAGGGAGAGAGAAAGAGAGAAAGGGAGAGAGAGTAAGAAACATCGATGTGAGAGGGACACATCGACTGGTTGCCTCCTGCACGACCCCGACCAGGGCTGGAGATGAACCACAACTAAAGTATGTGCCCTTAGCTGGAATCGAACCCGAGATTCATTCATTTGCGGGCAGACACTCTACCGCTGAGCCAAACCAGCCAGGGCTAGGGGAGTATTTCTATATGCATTTAACAGACAAGGCTCAGAAACATCAGATAATTTTGCAAAGACCACAAAGCTAACAAGGATCAAAAATGGGCTTCTAATTCAGAAGGTGCTCTGCCCATTGGTCAATAAAGAAATAGCAACAAACAGAAGGAATCTATCTGGATTTTTATAAGTCTGTTATTTGCTGGGGATGAGAGAGAGGTCCTCGACGGGAGAACAGATGAGCCAAGATTAGCCAAGAGTTGATCATTGTTGAAGCTGGGTGATGGGTTTCATTATACAATTCTGCCTGCTTTTGCATGCTTAAAATTTTCCAAAATCAAAGATCAAACAAAAGAGCTGCTTAAAGGATATTGTCAACATAGCAAACATTACATATAAATAATCTTTTGTTGTCTATAGGAAAGATGTAAAGTTTTATAAAAGGAGGAAGAACTAATCTTTAATTTCTAGAGATGTTTATCAAAATGTACCTGTGCAGTGATTATACATGACATGCAGCTTAACCTCTGCTTCTCAAAATGGAAATCATTCTACTACCTAAAGACAATGAGCTGCTTCAGAGATTCTAGTTAGTACTTGTATTGTTTCTGCTAACTAGATTGAAGATTTATATTGTGGGATATCAGAAATGCTACTCGTTATTTTTACCCTATTTCTAACATTATCAAGAACCAGAAGAAGATAGTGAATCTTACAAATGGGAGAAAGAATATTTTACTACAGAAAAGTACTGCTTTGCTTAAAAGGTTAACTTTAATTAAGACAGGGATAAAAGCTTTTATAGAAAGAATGACAAGTATGTAAAATTACCTCCACTGCTGCGGGCCATTGTTAGGGCTTCCAAAGAAATTGCTGGAGTTACTTCTAGCTGGCAGATCATTACTTTGGCTCTGCTAATGGCATTGGCTGCTTCCCTCAGGTCTTCAATATTCAAAAGTAAATTTGCTCCAGCCACTATCACAATGATATTCTGGCCTAAAAAGAATTTCTACATATTTATATTAAAACCAAGCAAAGCCAAGCAATGATATTCTGCAATGTTACAATCACGCTTACAAAGACATAACAAAAAAAATGTGTTGTATTAATTTTAACATTTCTAGGCCATTCAGGTTAAATTTCATATTCCTAATGTAACTTATAATATTCATGTATCATGATTCATATTCTAATCATTTTGAGCAAAATCTAAAAATGATTTCCTTTATCAGTATTCTTGTATACAAAGAATATTAGCTGAGAATTGATATATAACATATGTCAAATTTTCTTTTATGGGAAATGGCCAGAATAATGTATGTGGTAAAGATTCTTAATCCTAAATGACAGATGTCATAATGATGAGTATGAACAAGAATAAAGTTGCCTAACTCTAAAAACTAATGCTCTGTAGCATGTAATCAGTTGGAGGTCGACCCTAGGATATTCTGAAAAGTAATTCTGTAAATCAAACCATATTTTACAATATCTAGCAGATGAAAAGTTGTACTAAATAACTTAAGGTAGAGAGAAGAATAGCTGGCCTAGCCTGTACCAGATCAAACAAAAGCAGGACTAAGGAATCTTATACAGGGTGGGGCACATGTAGGTTTACAGTTGTGAGTAGGCAGAACACAGAGTTTATTCTTGTATTTTTATTTATTAGTTATTTTATTATTTTTGTACGAACAACTTTAACCTACTTTTGCCCCATCTGTATGCCCATCCCTTGGACCCATTCTCTACAATCCCACCTAAATGTGGGATTGGTGTGGGGTACGTTTGATCTGTCAGGTGAACTCTCAAGAGCTGTGCTGCCCAATATGATAGTCATGAGCACAAGCCACATGTGGCTACTGAGCACTTGAAATGTGTTAGCACAAAATGATATGTGCTTTAATTGTACAACACAGATTTTAAGGGCTGAATACAAAGAAAAGGTAAAATATCTCATTAATTTTAAAGAACTTTTTGATTACATGTTGAAAGGATAATATTTTGGATATAATGGGTTAAGGGAATATATTAAGATGAATTTTACCAGTTTCTATTTACTTTTTTAAGTGTGGCTAATGGAAAATTTAAAATTGCATACGTGGCTTTTGTTATGTTTCTATTGGACAATGCTGATCTAGTGGGCTGAATTGCAGCGGCATTGTTTTGTGCCGCAGGCTACTTGTGCTGCTCTTGTATAGACATGACCTAAAATTACCTCTGAACACAGAACACATGCTGGCCTATCATCTTACCACAGATGTGTTTGTTGGCCACAAGGAGGACTTAATAAAGTGGGGATGGTTCAGCGTAAACCCAACCTCGGTACTGGAAAAATTCAAAGTACCCACACACTGAAAGACAGCATACCTCCTTCCTTTTCTCCTCAGTGACCTCACTCTCTGCTAGAGTCAGCTGCTGCTTCTGTGCTGCTGACTCCTGGATCTGCATTTATGGCCAGGCTTTGGCTGATGAGCAAAAAGCCTAAGACACAACTGTATGATGGGCACTGCCATGTGGCTAGCTCACTCATGCCTCAACTTTCACTTGTCAAAACTGAACTCTCTACTTGACCTTGCTACTCACCCATTTAAAGGAGCCTCTCTGCATATAGACCAGTGGAACAGAACTGAAAACCCAGAAATGGACCCAAGGCAATACGCTCAATTAATATTTGACAAAAGTGGCAAGAGCATACAGTGGAGTAAAGACAGCCTCTTTAATAAATGGTGTTGGGAAAATTGGACAGCTACATGCAAAAAAATGAAACTCGACCATCAACTTACACCATACACAAAAATAAACTCAAAATGGATAAAAGACTTAAATGTGACCCGTGAATCCATAAAAATTCTAGAAGAAAATGTAGGCAACAAAATTTCGGACATCATACGGAGCAGAATTTTCACTGATACATCACCTAAGGCAATAGAAATAAAGGAGAAAATGAACACATGGGACTACATCAAACTAAAAAGCTTCTGCACAGCAAAAGAAACGATCATCAAAATGGAAAGGCAACCCACTGTATGGGAGAACATCATTGCCAATGATGTATCAGATAAGGGGTTAATTTCCAATATATACAGAGAGCTCATACAACTCCACAAAAGGAAGACAAAGAACCCAATTAAAAAATGGGCAGAGGAGCTGAGTAGACACCTCTCCAAACAGGACATACAAATGGCCAAGAGACATATGAAGAAATGCTCAACATCACTAATCATCCGAGAGATGCAAATTAAAACAACAATGAGGTATCACCTCACACCTGTCAGAATGGCCGCCATCAACAAATCATCAAACAACAAGTGTTGGCGAGGGTGTGGAGAAAAGGGAACTCTAATACACTGCTGGTGGGAATGCAGACTGGTGCAGCCGCTATGGAAAACAATATGGTGCTACCTCAAAAAATTAAAAATTGAACTTCCATTTGACCCAGTGATCCCACTGCTGGGAATATACCCTAAGAAGCCTGAAACACCAATCAGGAAGAATATATGTATCCCCATGTTCATAGCAGCACTATTTACAATAGCTAAGATCTGGAAACAGCCCAAGTGTCCACCGGTAGACGAATGGATCAAAAAGCTGTGGTACATATACACAATGGAGTACTATGCAGCGGTAAGAAAGAAAGATCTCTTATCCTTTGAGACGACATGGAGGGACCTGGAAAGTATTATCCTAAGTGAAAGAAGCCAAGCAGAAAAAGACAAATACCACATGATCTCACTTATATACGGAATATAATGAACATAACAGTCTGAGGAATACAGTAGACCCAGACACATGGAAGTAGGGTACAGACTGACATCCCTCAGAAGAGGGGATGGGGGGGTGGGGGGGTGGGAAGAGATAAACCACAGAACTTATATGCATGTATGCATGACCAATGGACATGGACAACTAAGCAGGGGACAGGGTGGAGGGGGAGGGGGGTGGGGGGTGCCAATGGGGTAAAAAGGTAAAATATCTGTAACAAAAAAATAAATAAAAATTCATAATAAAAAAAAAAAAAAAAAAAAAAAAAAATAAAGGAGCCTCTCTGGGTATTTGTATGATCTCTTCTGCTACCATCTGTACTCTTGAGGGCATTACCATACCCTATAAACCAGACCAAGTCTAACATAATAGGCACTTGATACACAATATTACATTATATCTTTGCACGAAAATGCAGTATTTTGTACACAGATAAAGAAGAAACAGAACTTGAAGATATCCCTAGAACACAAAAAGAGAGGCTGAAGGCAGGTAATGAGCTGCTGTTGGCAGCAATAATCACTTAAGAGGTAGCTTAAAGTAATGAACACAGACTATTGTTAGAAAACTTCTATCAACTGTCTTTTAGTGGAACAGTTTTTTTGTTACTGCAACTTTGGGATCACTAAAGGTAAAAATATCACGTCTTCTGTGAGAAATGTTGTTGTGAAACTGCATTATAAATTAAAGACATATGGTGACAAATCCTAATCTAATACGGTACACACTGACTGCCCATATGCACTAGGTTCTGTCCTAGGTGTCCCATGAAATGCTTGGCTCTTAATATTAATTCTGATTTTAAAAATCGTATGGAAGTGTTTTTATACTAAAAATAGTTGGCAGAAATTGTGAAAATGTTAGTTAAGGATAAAAGGAAGTTACTCTTTTCAAAGACAAATATTTCACTATTGCAAGGCATTGTGACAGACATAGTTGTATATATAGACTTTTGAGATTTGATTGCTGTTTAAAGAGCAGACAAAATTGAACACTAACGATAAGTTAGAAGTAATTAGTTGCTGCCATTTGCTCAGTAAATATTCTATAAATATGATTCATCAACTTTCTTTTGCACCTATCTATTTACATTTATTTACCTGGTGTAACTGAAATGACAGATGAATACTTAATTGCTTTTAGAGACAAACATCAATTCTGAGTTCACATGAAGGGTAATGAGATGTTACAGAATATAAATATTATTTTGAGGCAACTACAATGCTTCATATATATTGGATGGACAATTCTATATTTTTTTTTTTTTTTTTTTTTTAATCCTCACCCGAGGATATTTTTCCATTTTTTGTACAGATAGAGTGGGAGGGAGAGAGAGGAAGGGGAGAGAGAGAGAAACATCGACGTGAAGGGACACATCGAGTGGCTGCCACCCGCACGACCAACCAGGGCCGGGGACAAACTGCAACCGAAGTACGTGCCCTTAGCGGGAACCGAACCCAGGTCTCTCTGTACCGCAGGCCGACGCTCTAACCGCTGAGCCAAACTGGCCAGGGCTGGATGGACAATTCTATATTTGAATGAACAACCTGGGATGTATAAATAAAGGGAAACATCTATACTTAGGTTGGAAAGACTATGCTTTAGGCCTGGTGGGATCCATACGATTATGATAAAAATTGATGCTTCTGCTCTTGTTCTGGAAATGAAGTGTTTTATGAAATGACACTTCAATATGCAAAACACATACCTTCTTTATTGACAATTATAGAAGCAGTTCCTGTAGCAGCATCTTTAGTCTGACATGTAAATTCTAAAAGAAAAAAGAAATTGCAATCACGTATACACAGCTTGGCATGGATAATTTATTTTAACAATTTCAGTGCGCCTCTATTCCTTAGAAAATTTTTTAACCTTTAACCATCTGGAATGATAAAAAAGAAATAAGTAATTAGTGCTAATTTATACTCATTACCTATACAATGAGGAAAATAAAAGTCTTTACACTTAGTTGCACCTTTTCTCTACATTAGTAACAACCCAGCAAACCACCCCCACTTCCAGTTCCCCCAAATTATTCATAGTTGTATACATATGCATTTTTCTACACCACCCTATTTCTTCAGTAGAAGAAATGACAGACTGGAGATGAAAGACTAAAGGTCAAACCTATAAAATCAACTTGTTTTTTTTTTTCATTCTCACAAGCTTTGCATCTCATCAAGAAGTATGGCCTGGCATCTAAATGGTAATGCTGATCAGGCAGCCTTTGGCAGAAGCAGAGCCTTGAACTGAAGCCAACGACCTGCATTCTAGTCGTGACTGTAGCTCCCAACTAGCTGTGCTCTTAGACAAATTCATAACCTCTCTGGCCTTCGGTTTTCTCTCTTGTAAAATAATAGCATCAACCTCAATGGTTTCTAAGATCATTTCCAGCTATGATACTCAATGACTTTTCTTAAAATATCTTCTGTGAACGTAGCACCTATTTTGTCTTATCATCTGCTTTTGAAACATTTCCATGAGATGAAGGTTTTATTTCCATTCCTCCTATTGTTTTATTTCCATCTGGAGGAATGTATGTGAAAGAATTAACCACAGGCTATTTAAGCAAGACTAGACAAAGCTGTGCATAAAAATCCCCTGGCCACCAGGGGAGGATCTAATAATTCTATTCTATATTCAACTTTTCTTGTAATTGGATCAGAAGAAAGTTAATAAAAACCAATTTAAAAAAAAATGAAATTTTACCTGTAGAGATATCATTCTGTTTTAAGTTTTCTATATAATCATTGCCAAAAGAATCTTTGCCAACCTGTACCAAAGAAATGGTGAACGTTAGATCTTTTACATTTAGTAAAATGCTACAATGTAGTTTTTAGAATACTTAGCATTTATTTTTTATTTATTTATTTTATTTATTTTATTATCCTCACCCGAGGATATTTTTCCATTTTTTTTGTACAGATAGAGTGGGAGGGAGAGAGAGAGAGAAACATCGATGTGAAGGGATCGAATGGCTGCCACCCGCACGACCGACGAGGGCCGGGGACAAACCGCAACCAAAGTACATGCCTTTAGCGGGTCTCTCCAGACCGCAGGCCAACGCTCTAACTGCTGAGCCAAACCGGCCAGGGCAATACTTAGCATTTAGAAAGGGCATATCTACACAGTAATTTATAAACTAAGAAGATTAACTAATTAATCTTCTTAATGTAAGTTGCTAGACTTGATTTCAGCCCAAAGAATTGTTATGAACTAATGTTCCACTTATATCCTGCCTAAAATGTGAAGCATTTAGTGATTCTCACCAGTTCTGTAGTTTCACTCTCATTTTGATCTGTTCATGAGGAAATTCCCAATGAGAAGAGTTGTTCACCATCAACAGTCCTCAATATTTATGAAGAATATCAGTTGTTTGGACTTCACTATTAATGATGACATCTTTGTAATTAACGACTTGCCTGGTGTTTTAGAATTTTCTTATCTTCTCCCCTGAGCCTGACATAAGGCGCAAAGAAGAGGGAATTTGAAAAGCCCTTGCTAACTTGGTATAGAGGAATTCCGTTGTTTTTGCATCCTTGCATCCATTCTGGTAATGATATTCCAGTTTTTCCTTTAGACTTGCATTCCTCTTCTATTTATAGGCAACATGATTAGGTTGGCACAGTTGTTAAAATCAATGAACATATGTTGACACATCAACCAAACCTCCCAAACACCATAGTTTACATTAGGGTTCACTCTAGTGTTGAACATTCTGTGGGTTTTGATAAGTGTACGGACATGTATCCACAATTATATATCATACAGAATGGTTTCACTGCCCTAAAAATCCTCTCTGCTCTGCCTATTCATCACCATCTGCCCCCCAGTCCCTGGCAACTACCGACCTTTTTACTATCTCTATCTTTTTTGTCTTTTTGAGAATGTCATATAGTTGGAATCATTCCTGAACTATTTCTGTCTTTCTGTCCTGCAGGTGAGCACATCAATGGATTATGTCTCTGCCCAGGTCTCAGCCAGTCCTGGTGTGTTCTGCTCGTCCACAGAAAATTGTTCCTCTCTGAATATATCAACAGAAAGAAACCTAGACATTTACTTGGGTCAGGATCCTCAATGAGTGACGATAAAATTTTCTGGTGAGCATTTGGACTGTCTAGATCAGGAATTGGACATTTTTTTTTTTTTACCTGTAAAGGACCAAATAGGTAATTTTTAAGGCTTTGTGGGCCATTTTGTCTCTTTAGCCACAATTCATCCCTGCCATTGTAGTGTGAAAGCAGTCAAAGAAAACATGTCAACACAGGGATATGGCTGTGTTCCAATAAAATTTCATTTACAGAAATATGCAGTGTGCAAGGTTTGCCCCAGGGGCCATATTTGCTGACCCCTGACTTAAATGTCACTTTTGATACCTTCTTCTGAAAAGAATACTTTTCCTCGTACTCCTTTTCTGGCTCAAATGCTGTTTAGGCAATAATCTCAAGCGATATATAATAACTTCTTAGCAGAATTTCTTTCTTTATAACAAAGAGTGTCCACAACAAGGTGTTGCTGTGGGGAGAGTTCCCTGGTGGAGGGAGGTCATCTACCAAAGGTGTGCCTCATGGAAGGCTGGCTCTTCATTTATCTAGCAGGTATGTGCCAAAGCATCCTATCTTAGGTCAAAGATTCATACCAGAAACAAACTTTTTCTTCTCTCATCTTTTTCACATTATTTAACTCTCTCCCATGGGCCATCAAGGTGTTATATAGTTGGGAAAGTATCATTATAAGAATGTTCTGGGGATTAAGAAAAGGCCATCCCTAGGCATGTGGGGCATGATACAAATTAGAGCTAAGAAACTTCTCTTCCTTTTCCTATCAGTTTTATATGGGCAAAATCTATTTATGGTGAATATCAAGGGCAGCTGATAAATGGCAGTGATGATATAAACATTAGCAAATGTAGGGGTTAGGAAACTAAAATAACACAAAGCTTTGCCCTCAAAAAACTGATAATATTGGAGGGAAATAAGACACTCGAGGTGGAACAGCATGAGCATCAGAGGCATAATTGGGAAGAGATCCTTGCATCAGGGTAACTGCATTTTGCAGACTTGCTACAATTGTATTTTAGAGGCTGCAGGAGCATCATCTGATTGGCTACATCCCTGGATGATGGTTATGGTTCCAGGTTTATTCTAAAACTGATTTCCTGGCAAGTCTGTTGGCGGGCCTTTTAAACTCTATGTGAGACATAGGACAAAATACTTTGTTTTTGCCTTCTTTGCTACTGACTTGTCAAAAAATAAAAATCTGGTAACTAAAAAATAATGGAAAAGTAACAACACTGCTGAGGATTAGGAGAAGTTAACTGTAGCTCCATTAACTTTACATCATATAGGTTGTGGTGATACATTACAAAGTGAAAGAAGTGATGAAAAGCCTAAGAATAGGAAGACAGTATTTTGTTTGTATCATGGAAGCCCCTTCACACTAGATGTGGGATTTTGGGCAAGCCACTTTAATTCTCCCTAGGCTCAGTGTCCTCATCTGGAAAGTTACAGCATATTTGGTGTGAAGATAAAGTAATATGCATGGCAGTACATTTAAAGCTATAAAGGATTAAATAAGGGTTTGGTGCCATCATCATCATCATCATCAACATCAGGCTGCTTCTCTTTGGAAAAAGGGCAGGGCTCCTGCTGTTTGGATTCAATCTTTTTTTTCTTTTATCCTCACCTGAGGACATTTTTCCATTTTTTGTTCAGATAGAGTGGGAGGGAGAGAGAGGAAGAGAGAGAAAGAGAAACATCGACGTGAAAGGGACACATCAAGTGGCTGCCACCCGCATGACCAACTAGGGCCGAGGACAAACTGCGACCGAAATACATGCCCTTAGTAGGAACCGAATCCGGGTCTCTCTGGACCGCTCTAACCACTGAGCAAAACCGGCCAGGGCTAGATTCAATCTTATAAACTACTTTCAGGCCCATCTGGTTCTCCCTGATGCTTCAGTTCTCCCTGTTGCTTCCTATTTCCAGACAGGAGAGCATTTGATCATGGAAGCAAGCATGTGGGTACATTAAATTATTTTAAAAATGAGACTGTATTTATTACTGTTATTGTTCTAATAAAAACATGACATCTGCGTTAATGGTTTTGTGTAAGGAAAGCTGTTCAGTATAATCATGTATCCTGTTACTTTCATGAGAATCCTATAGCCAACTGGGAGGGTATCTCTGCCTTGAGAGTAGATGTTTAAGCTTTAAGTAGATCTAAATCACATATCAAAATGTGGACAAAAAGCAATGGAGATCTGAGTCCTATTTAAAAGGATCCTCTTTTCTTTCTGCATCACAGAGTTGTAGAGATGACATGTGCAATGTTATACTAAAAGAAAGCCATCATCCCCATTACCCCACCCTCAAAATCTCTTACACATTCATGTATTCTTCTGGATTTATTTTTAAAAAGGTTTTGAGACGTGAACACCTTCCAGTCCCATTTGCTTACTTCTGACTCAAATTTAAGCCTCTTCCCCCATAACTGGAAACTGAAAACCAGAAGTCAGAGGAACAGAACCCCAGGAAAGGTGCATTCATAGCCTGCCACTGAGAGTGAGTGCAAGTGTCTTGAAAACCACAGTGATGATACAAATGGAAGCCCCCTGGCACAATAAGGACTATTATAAAGGAACCTTCATAGGTATCTTTGGAGACTTCCCTATTTTCCTGGTCACGCATTGGCTACCAAATTGATATGAAAACTTTAACTGTAAATATCTTGGCCATGAGGCAAATGGTGCATATGGGAGTCAGGAAACCTGGAATCTAATTTCAGTTCTTCTGTTATCAAGCTAATTAAAATTCTTTACTACATTTTTTGGCAAATTGTTCCATCTGAGCCAGGCTGTGGGGTGGGACTGGTATGAGTTATCTCTGGCAGACAGGAAACCAATCATTCTCAGCCTCAGTTGCTCATCAGTATCTTCTGAGGAGCTTGTAAACAACCTGTTGCCCAGATTACACCCAGACTGATTCAATCAGACCCTCTGCAGGTGGGACCGTTGCATGCTCCCCAGGTGATTGCACTGTGTGGCCTTCAGTCGAGGACCACTGGTTGCAGGATTAAAATGGGGAGAGAGTCTATAAAGGTTTTTTTTGTCCTCACCCAAGGACATTTTCCCATTTTTTTTGTTCAGACAGAGTAGGAAGGAGAGGTAGAGAGAGAGAAACATCGACGTGAAAGGGACACATAGAGTGGCTGCCTCCCATAGGACCCCACCGGGGCCAGGGACAAACCGCAACCGAGATACGCGGCCCCAGCGGGAACCAACCTGGGTCTCTCTGGACCGTGGGCCGACGCTCCCACCGCTGGGCCAAACTGGCCAGGGCTAAAGGTTTTTTTTTGGTAAGGGAGAAATGAAGAGGGAGAGCACAGTCCTGCCTGGTATTAGGTTGGTGAGTCAACTAAGTGGGAGCACATGGGAGTGTGACCTGCAGAATCTGCTGAGGGCGAAGAGCCCAGCAGAGTCCAACATTAGGAGCAAGGTATTGTGAAGCCCGAAAGATTTCTGTGGCTTGTGTTTGATGACTAGTCACATTTTGACATGGCCTGGGCTTGCTTCCCCTTGCTTCTTTTGTGTCTGTCCTTCTAAAACTCATATTTGGCAAAAAATAGTTGGGTTATGTTTTTCAGGATGGTCAGTAGAAGCACTATTAACCTGACATTATCAATTGGCTGTGTTAAAACACTGTGTGAATACAATATATTCATGTCTATTTCCTTGCTTTCACATATGAGAACTCAGAAGCCCTTTCCTCTCTCCTCCACTTAACCAAACCTTGCCTGTTTTCCAAGCATCAGCTTAAGGCCTACCTTTCTAATTTGCCCCTTGTTACTCTTTTATTTCCAGAACTCCAATAGCATTCCTAATGGATAGTATACAATTATTTAATTGAATACCATCTTATATTGTTTGCCTAAACAATCTTACTTAAATTCTAGTCTTCCTAAAATCTTATTGGAGACTCTAACTTAGCATACATTTATCCGTCCTTAAACCTGTGCATTAAAGGTGTTATATGAGTATTTGATCATCTTAGTTGCCTGTCTGTTCATTTTCCTTGGGCCTATTTATCATTCTTAAAGGGACATGACTACAGGCACCCATACTGTTCTAGCTGTGACTGCAGAAAGGTTTTCTCCAAGGTATTGCTTCTAAAAGCCCTCTTGAAGGCACTCCAATACTCTTTCAGCTGCAGCAGTGAGGTAAGTACTTTTGGACAGAAAGATTCTGGGAAAACTGCATAGTCTGAGATAGTCGCTGAGTGCCTATTCTGGGTGAAAGAGTCCAGGTCATCAGCAACTATGGACAACCCCTCACACTTAACTGAGGTAACTCACAGAACCCCGATGCTCTTAAGGAAATCCCAGGTTCAGCTCTACACCAAATATTGTAGAGCTGTGCTGCTGAATGGAACTTCCTGCCATGGTGAAATGTTCTATGTCTGTGCTGTGCAATGTAGACACTTAAAATGCAGCAGTGTGACTGAGGAACTCAGCGTTTAATTTTATTTTAATTACATTTACATCTAAGTAGCCACATGTGGCTAGTGGGTGCTGTATTGGACAATGCAGCTGTAGAGATGTGAATTAGGATCATGGAAAACAAAAGGGCTGGGTTTATCAGGAGCATTTCCTCCAGCTAAGGGTACTGGGGTGCTTCCTTCACTCTCACCACTCTCTCTCTGCATTGAGGGAGAGCCAGTCAGTGGCTTCCACAGTCCATAACAATGACCCGTAATTTCAGTTAGCACTATCATAATAAACATCTGTATTTCAAAATGGTGGAGGAATGGGCTGCTTGGAATCCTTGAACGCCAAAAAACACCTATTAATTCCACCCATCAACATATATTTGAGGTAAATAAAACACTGAGGAACCAGATATCTTACCTCAGGTCACACAAAATTGAATATTCTGCTAAAAATGATATCACATATATTAAAACAAGTTACTGACTTTCAGTTAGAATATGGAAAAATGTAATTAACACTAAAACTAAGCCCTGGCCGGTTTGGCTCAGCGGTTAGAGCGTCGGCCTGCGGTCCTGAGAGACCCGGGTTCGGTTCCCG